TGGTCGGGTTTTTAGAAAAAATGTTTTTAAATTTACATTACAATTTGTCAAAATCAAGAAATTTTAAACTGCCTTTTTCAGGTCCAAAATCTGAAAACCTTGCTACAACATTAAGGCCAACCATAAGTGAGTTAACATATTTCTTTGGTTCGATTTTGGTGGATACATATGCTCCTTGAACGGATCCTGCTAAATCATGTAAATTATGCCAAAATTGTGAGCCTCACGAAAACACTTTAGAGCGATATTCATACTCAGAAAGTGCTCCGTATTTCTCTCCCATTCGACGGCGTGGAGGAGAAATTCCACAAAAACCTCGGTGATACTGTCAGGTCTTTTCAATTTAACAGCAAAATTCATAATTTTGTTACAGTTTGGTAAGAGTCATAAAATGCGGACTGAATTTTTTTCAGGTACAAACGTACATACTGGGGCCTTAGACACAAATTCAACCGGCGTGCCGGAACGCTCTGAGGTATTCCTAATTCAGCAGATGAAAGTGTCCGCTAAAACGTTCTTTTGCTATAAGGCCAAATACTTACACCAATTTCTTTAGAAAGGGAGGACTTTAAAAACCCATGGCATCGTTAGTTGGTCTTCAATTTCTACAGATGGTCGACAAAAAACTACAAATATTATTGTTTGTTGTATTAGTGACTCATACAAAAGCACTCTAAATTTCTTGCAGGTATCGAGTGAACAACCGACCACTCAAACTCGTTTTGATGAGTAACGAGTCAAACACGGTGAACGATTTCAATACATATGTCATAATTTCTTGCTATCCGGAGGCTAGTATTGCTTTCTTTAGTCATAGTAATTTGGATTATAAGGAAATTCCGGAAGATTTTATCTAATTTTTTGTCTCAATTCTTGTGTCGTCTTGCGTACGCAAATATATAGCCTGTATCAATCTCTCCAATGCGTTAAAACAGTCGTATAACGTGCGGCAGGAAAGGCTTTACTTTAAACGCATTTATACTCAGTGGGTGTAAATGTATATAAATCAGTCACGAGAGGAACAATGGACGATGGCAGACTGAATTAATCATATACGATGCCTCAATCATTTGTGGACCACGGATGTCAAAAACTACAAGCATTTCCGGTACCTTTCTGACCGCCACCAATATAGTCACTTAGTATCTCCAAGTTAAGCTCTTGACGTGCATATGTGATTTTAAAAAATAACTACTGCTTTTCACTTTAACTGCAAACAGTTTTTGATTATTGACGCATTCTGGACTCACTTCAGGAAAATCGATTCTGGATCTCCTGGAATCATCGTTGTTTCTTGCTGTATCCACCTGAATCTGTTTTGAAATGCTGGGCATGGGTACTAGTTTATTACTTAGCCGTGTTATTTATGGTGAAGGAAAAAAAATTTGCCTTGTCGACTTCTGACTTATAGCGGGATTATTTTTTTCTTTGACGAAATCAGTCTGCTGGGTAAAACTTGCTATGTAATTCACGGATATTCTGAACTTTTACCTAATGTGGGAGGTCCAAGTTGTTTTGAGGCCATCTCGAGGTAAGTGAGGAGAGCATTCGTTGCGCGGCCACTTTACGCTAATAGTCAAACGCGGCAAAGAATTAAGACTTATGTAAGCAAAAAGAAAGATGACGGAGAATGCGTTTCAGGTCACATTACCTTCATTCAGTCACCCACCGTCGTGGCCTGCAGCTGGGACCAGAAAAACAAACATGCGCACAGACACATCTGGCGCAGCTTGTCTGCCACTGGGGTATACCAGATAGGTCATAAGCACTTCATCGAACGGAAATGCATCAGTGCCTCGCAACCCTGTCATTCTAAGTCGCTGTAGATCGGTTATTTATTCAATCAAGTCTGGGCGCGCATCTATCTGATGGCTTCCCGAAAGAAGCAAGCTCCGTATGGGTGACGGGCATCACGAACAGGCAAATAATTACCAGGTGAATGTCCGCCAAGTCATAAGAGCACAATGAGGGACTGTAAAGAATGCGGGTAAATCGATAGAGTACTCTGAAGTCAGTTGGCAAACATATATTTTTAATAATTTACCATCAGGTCAACACATTTACGTGGGTAAGGATCGTTTTTAATTATGGGCAGGGGCCTCAGGGGCAAGATTAGTCGGACTCCATTTTTCCACACCGCCTGAATGACAGGGTCACAAACAGACAACTGACTTCTAGACTGCAGTCGGCCAAGTTTTGATAGCAGAGTAGGAAGACGACAGAGAGTACTGGTAGATGACAACAGGACTCTTCCGACTATTATGCGTTATCCTTAGCCCTGTAAGAGGATAACATTGAGTTTTTTTTAGGGTTATGCTTGGCTAAATGATTGCTTAATAAGCCTAAAACGGTAACGTACAAATCTACTCACCTTCTTTATCGTCTCTTACCTCTGCTATTATAAACTGGCCGGCCTCGGCCTGGTAAGTATTTGTCCGTTTGTGGCCTCTCGCACTCGCACATTTGTAGGGAGCACATAAAATGTGCCCCGGGCTTTCTATGGGCATTGAATAATCGGATAGAGGCTTATTATTTCTCTAACCGAGAAAAAGTCTGAATCTAGGTCTCTGTCTCATAACCTTGCTTATACACGCACATACAGTACCTGTGCTAACTCAGTAAATAATATTTTCTTAACCAAACTTTGCTTTATTTCTTTGGCACATCGTTTATTTTCCGCTATCAGACTTTGGGAGCCGTAGTGTTTACCGATTTTGCGTTAAAGGCGTTAACCTGTGTTAATTCGTGACATTTCATGAGTTAGCACAGGTACTGTATATACGTTGATTGGAGCGAAAATGCGCGTTCCTGGATATAACTGAGAAGATAAGGCTATCAAAGGAACCATGGGCTTATTTACCTGACGTTTCGAAAGCAAAATAACTTCCATCATCGGAGGTGGGTTGCGTACTGCACGTCACAGCATTTAAGGGTCCTCTTTCGTGCTGGCGTGTCAATGACTTCAGGCGCGCTGCATCACAAGGCCTGACGATTGTTGTGATGGCGACATTGGTTCCTCGTCATCCTTTGTTGGGTGTGGGGATGGGAGCGGCGTCGGGGTGACCGCGGCCATTGCTCTTGATTGCATTTTCCATTGTCCGCCCTCCACGTATCTCTGTAGCGGCCGAGGACGTCAAGGGTAGCACACAACCACGTAACGGAATATCGATAAAGAGATCCTGGCTTGTGTTGATTTGAATATGTTTGTTAGCAGTTCACGATACTCATCCATACATAAAGGAAGAAGAAACGATCGGTGGACGAGAAGATATAATGAACAGAAAAGGGAATTGCTAAGGAGTATAATGACAGTTAAAAGTACAGGCGAGATGAGTTACAACAGTCGATGACCTGTCTGGGTGGAGAGGCGAGGCCAACATGCCAGCTGGACAACCGGTGGGGAGCGCAGCGCTGGGGGCAACTGCAGGGAAGGGCCGAGGGGGTTGCCGATGTAGTGAGGGCAGCGGTACGAACGTTACGACACGATACGGAGCGGGAGAGGGGATCGGCGGAAGAGAGTGGAAGGGACACCGGCCATCTTCACCAACATGCGGCTACGCCATCTCCATCCTAGGCCCACGCGCCAAAAGTGTCACGGCATTCAAACAACCATGCCCAGATCAGGGGACGTTACATCTCGTCTTCTAACCCCGTTCGCACCTACCCGTAACCGCGCGGACGGTGGTTGTCATGCAAATGTTGACGTCGGGCTGGGGATTCCTGTCACTGTCGCGGGCACTCGTCTCGCTATCTCGTTCACACCTGCCCGTAACCGTGTTGACGATGGTTGTCATGCCAGTGTTGACGTCGGGCTGGGGGGTTCTGTCACTGTTGGGCGTTCTCACCGACTGCTCACGTTTGTCTGCGTTCGCCGCCGCTTGTTCCCTGGTATCTTTTGTTGCCGATGTCTGTCTGTGCCCGTCCGTGTTCCCGCTTTTTCTGGGTTTGGTTACTGCCGTCTCTGGCCTGAAGTCTCGTCGATAGCCGTGTCTATTGAACTTCACCCGTAGGGCTTGGTAGGTAGTCGGCAAAGCTACGCAGCGGTTGATAGAGGTAGTTGTGGTGTGCCAGGCTTCGAGCGTCTCCCTTACTGTTTAATCGCTCACTTGGCCCAAGACTTCGGCGTCTTGGAAGGCGAAGGCGTGGCCAAAAGCTGCACAATGGTCTGCCACCAACGCCAACTAATCCATTCTTCGTGCCGCTCTTGAGTGCTCGTCCATACGGGTCTGCAGTCTCTTTCCGGTTTCTCCAACGTAGTTTGCCTCGCCAGAACTGCACGGGATCCGATAGACGACGTTGGCAGTTTCGCCCCGTGGCAGAGGCGTTTTTGGTCTCATGACCATACGTCTAATTGTCGCTTCCGGTTTTTAGGCGATGCCGATACCCAATGGTTGCAAGATACGAGCAACTGCTACGGAAACATTCGCAATATATGGCAGTGTTCGCCAGAATTCCGGCTGATTTGCCGTTGACTTTATGTTTGTTCTGGATAGTCTGCTGCGTTCTATAAAGCTGCGTAGGTAACCGTTGGACAATGCAATCAAGAGCAGTGTCCGCGATCACCCCGACGCCGCTCCACTCCCCATATCCAACAAAGGACGAGGAGAAACCGATACCGCCATGACAACAATCGTCAGGCCTTGTGATGAAGTCAGTGACACGCCAGCACAAAAGAAAACCCTTAAATGCTGTGACGCGCAGTGCGCAACCCACCTCCGATGATGGAAGCTTGTTTGCTTTCGAAACGTCAGACAAATAAATCTATGGTTCCTCCGATAGCCTTACCTTCTCACATATATATATATATATATATATATGTGAGAAGATAAGGCGATCGCAGGAACCATAAGTATATTTGCCTGACGTTTCGAAAGCAAACAAGCTTCCATCATCGGAGGTGGTTTGCGTACGGCACGTCACAGTATTTAAGGGTTTTTTTCTTTCGTGCTGGCGTGTCACTGACTTCCAGCGCGCTGCATCACACGGTATGGCGATGGTTGTCATGGCGGCATCGGTTCCTCCTCATCCTTTGTCGGGTGTGGGGAGGGGGGCGGCGCCGGGGTGACCGCGGCCATTGCTCTTGTTTGTATTGTCCGTTGTCCGCCCTCGACGCATCTCTCCTTCCTGCCCCGTTCGCACCTGCCCGTATCCGCGTGGACGGTGGTTGTCATGCCACTGTTGACGTCGGCCTGGGTGGTCCTGTCGCTGTCGGGGGATCTCGTCTCGCTGTCCCGTTCACACCTGCCCGTAGCCGTGTTGACGGTGGTTGTCATGCCAGGGTTGACGTCGGGCTGGGGGGTTTTGTCACTGTCGGGCGTTCTCATCGAGTGCTGGCGTCTGTCTGCGTTCGGACCCAGAAGGCGGTCTCCTGGGTTTGCGTTCGCCGCCGGTTGTCCCCCGGTTTCGTCCGTTCCCGGTGCCTGTCTATGCCCGTCCTCGTTCCCGCTTGGTCCGGGTTCGATTACTGCCGTCTCTGGCCTGACGACTCGTCGGTAGCCCTGCCTATTGAACTTCAACCGTAGGGCTTGGTAGGCAGCCGGCAGAGTTACGCATCGGTTGATTGAGGTAGTTGTGGTGTGCCAGGCTTCGAGTGTCTCCCTGACCGTTTGATCGCTCCCTTGGCCCAAGACTTCGGCGTCTTGGAAGGCGAAGGCGTGGCCAAAAGCTGCGCAATGGTCTGCCACCAACGAGAGCTGATCCATTCTTCTTACCGCTCTTGCGTGCTCGTCCATGCGGGTCTGCAATCTCTTCCCGGTTTCTCCAACGTAGTTTGCCTCACAGGAACTACACAGGATCCGGTAGACGACGTTGGCAGTTTCGCCTCGTGGCAGAGGCGTTTTTGGTCTCATGACCAACCGTCTGATTGTCGCTTCGGGTTTGTGGGCGATGCCGATACCCAATGGTTGCAAGATACGAGCAACTGCCTCGGAAACGTTCGCAATATATGGCAGCGCTCGCCAGACTTTCGGCTGATTTGCCGTTGACTTTACGGTTGGTCTGGACTGTCTGCTGCGTTCTATGAAGCTGCGGGGTAACCGTTGGAGGTGAACATCCGCCGTAGATAGTGGAGTTCGGCTACCTTGTCGGTCGGTTCGCTGCAGTGAGTGTCAGCTCTCCTGTAGAGGGATCGAACACAGCTTCGTTTGTGACACAGCGGGTGATTGCTGTGGTAGGACAGGATTTGGCGAGTGTTAGTGGCCTTCCTGTAGACCGTGGTTTTCAGGCTCCCGTTTACCTTGCGATGGACCAGAACGTCTAGAAACGCGATCTGATTGTTGTTCTCTGTCTCCATGGTGAATTGAATATCGGGAAGAACAGAGTTCAGTAGCGCGTGGAAATTCGAGACCCTTTCCCGTTTGAGAACGACGAAAGTGTCGTCCACATACCGCGCCCAAAATTTTGGCTTATACGTTGCGAACACTAACGTCTCCAACTTTTGAAGAACAGCTTCAGCGATGAAACCGGATAGTGGTGAGCCCATCGGCGTACCTTTGATTTGTTCGTACACAGTTCCTTCAAATGTGAAGAACGTTTGGAGACAGTATTTAAGCAGTTGCACCAGGTGCCCCCTCCTAGGGGTATTGCTTGCCTCCGTGTATTGGCTGTCGAGGAGGTCGCTGGCAGTTTCGACTGCCAAGTCCTTTGGGATCGAGGTGAAAAGCGAGGTTACATCGAACGACACCATGACCTCGTCTGTGTTAATTTGCAGGCCTTTCAGTCTTTCCAGGAAATGGACGGAGGAGCGGACCGTCGTGTCGGAGCCCAAAGTGAGGCAGTTCAGGCGTCGGAACATCCATTTGGCCAGGTTGAATGTGGGTGTCCCGCGCAAGGATACGATGGGACGAAGTGGGGCACCATCTTTGTGTATTTTAGGCAGCCCGGCATGACCCTGGCATGACAACCACCGTCAACACGGCTACGGGCAGGTGTGAACGGGACAGCGAGACGAGATCCCCCGACAGCGACAGGACCACCCAGGCCGACGTCAACAGTGGCATGACAACCACCGTCCACGCGGATACGGGCAGGTGCGAACGGGGCAGGAAGGAGAGATGCGTCGAGGGCGGACAACGGACAATACAAACAAGAGCAATGGCCGCGGTCACCCCGGCGCCGCCCCCCTCCCCACACCCGACAAAGGATGAGGAGGAACCGATGCCGCCATGACAACCATCGCCATACCGTGTGATGCAGCGCGCTGGAAGTCAGTGACACGCCAGCACGAAAGAAAAAAACCCTTAAATACTGTGACGTGCCGTACGCAAACCACCTCCGATGATGGAAGCTTGTTTGCTTTCGAAACGTCAGGCAAATATACTTATGGTTCCTGCGATCGCCTTATCTTCTCAGTTATATCCGGGAACGCGTATTTTCGCTTCAATCAGCAATATATATATGTATACAACGTTTGATCCCACGTAACCTCGTCCCTTGTGTTTAAAGATCCCATTGTAGTGTGACCACGGATTCAGTTCTGAACAATGTAAAACAGCTACGGACCTGTCTTAAGGCATTATACTCTAGCACAGACATCCTCATCGGTCTGATGTTTACTGTGAAGGTCTTCTATAACTGTACACTGACTTGCGGCTATCTTTAGAACAACAATTACTATTTATGTTTTTCAGCATAAAACCTCATTGATTCGTCATGCTCTGATATTGAGAACCCCAGATGAAACTCCTAACACCTCTCCTCGACTACAGCAACTATCACCACACCGCGCACACCTCCCGTGTGGCGACTGACTACATTGAGTTTGGTACGTACAGGGTTACGTAAGAACCTGTTGTCTTGCCCTAGTACGTGGGCATACTGGACAAAGTTCGTAAACACTGCGCCAAGCACATATAGGCAGAGGTTATAAGAACAAGTAGCAAAAGAGCATTAATACCATTCGAGCGACAGTAATTCAATAAATGGACAATAATGGTACAGTGTGGACTAAGACGGTGGAGTGCATTTGTGCAATAACCCTTTGTAGATTTGGAGGCGTTCTGTCATGTCTGTTAGATCACCGTTGGCAGTGTAGCCCTGGGACCGACTGCAGGTGGGAGGAGGACATGGGAACCCAACCATTTCACTTCAAGGTGCTACTCAGATGCAGGATGTCCATGTAATGCAGGCTGTCCTGCTCTAAGTTTCAAACGTTTATTACACCGCGTGCAACGATCCCTGATGAAGGGGGGGGGGGAGCCGTGATTATTTATAAGTATGTAGTAGCATAGTGACTGCACCCTGTAAATACTTCAGCCCCATGTGCATGAAAGACCAGTATCTGCTACTCTCTCCGAGGATTAGTTCGAGTAGTAACCCGAAAAGTCAGGCGAATAAAGTTTCTGTTCCAGCGATAGTCTCTACCTCTTGCGGAGTAGATAGTGTTATAAAGAAGTTGAACAGACGACCTCTGGAGTAGTTGTGTATTAGTCTAAGCTTTCGACCCCTAGAGGAGGCCATCGTTAGAGACTGGGAGAATTCGGTATCAAATGAGAAATTTTTTAGTCAAGCCTTGAAGGTGGGAGGGGAGGATATGAATGCAGACGGTGGTATTTGCGATAAGCTGAGTACCACGACGGCTCACGGCGGCGTGACTGCGTGCACCCTTGGCAGGAAATTGAGGCTCGCCACTTTGCCGCGGAAACGGAGCGCGTGATAGCAGGCGGTATGTCAACGTGCCTGTTGATAAAGTTTCTGTTAGACACCCAGGCCTCCAAAAGTTCTCGCCCTGTCTCATTGCTGGCCCGCGCCACAATCCACGTACTCACAAAGTTGACTTCGTGGCTTTCCTCCAGGGTATGAGTGGCGACCTGAGACAACGGGTCACTTCGCCAGACTGCCCGTTTGTGCTCTGTTATTTGTGAGCCACGTCGTCATCCGGTCTGTCCTGTGTGGTGGCAAAGGCAGTCTCGACACGGGATCTGAGAAACGACACCCGATTATTCTCACATATCTAGTCGGTCCTTCACTCACATGATTATATTGTGCATGCTCGCTGTCCGACGGTGAGCGATACCCACACACACCACGTCGAGCTCTCCAGCGATACGTTCCATCGCTTCGGACACGTTCTTTATATATGGTAGAGGGTGCCAGAACGTTGGCTGGAGCCAAAAATCTCAGACTAATACACCTACTATTCCAGAGCTCGTTTGTTCATCTTCTTTACAACAAGAAACTCGGATTCTCCTATTCGCTTTCATCCGAGATAGTGTTACGTTTCTGCTATAACATCCAACTGGCGGCACGTTCTAAAAGTCTCCGTGACCGAATCCCCAGTGGAGGAATTAACAGCGATGGTTGAAGAACAAGAAGACTACTGCTGAGTCCTAACAGCG